GCAGGCAAGCAGGCAAGCAGGCAAGCAGGCAGGCAGGCAGCAGGCAGGCAGGCAAGCAGGCAAGCAGGCAAGCAGGCAAGCAGGCAAGCAGGCAAGCAGGCAAGCAGGCAAGCAGGCAAGCAGGCAAGCAGGCAAGCAGGCAAGCAGGCAATCAGGCAAGCAGGCAAGCAGGCAAGCAGGCAAGCAGGCAAGCAGGCAAGCAGGCAAGCAGGCAGGCAGGCAGGCAGGCAGGCAGGCAGGCAGGCAGGCAGGCAGGCAGGCAGGCAGGCAGGCAGGCAGGCAGGCAGGCAGGCAAGCAGGCAAGCAGGCAAGCAGGCAAGCAGGCAAACAGGCAAGCAGGCAAGCAGGCAAGCAGGCAAGCAGGCAAGCAGGCAAGCAGGCAAGCAGGCAGGCAGGCAGGCAGGCAAGCAGGCAAGCAGGCAAGCAGGCAAGCAGGCAAGCAGGTAGGCAGGCAAGCAGGCAAGCAGGCAAGCAGGCAAGCAGGCACGCAGGCAGGCAGGCAAGCAGGCAAGCAGGCAAGCAGGTAGGCAGGTAGGCAGGCAGGCAGGCAGGCAGGCAAGCAGGCAAGCATGCAAGCAGGCAGGCAGGCAGGCAGGCAAGCAGGCAAGCAGGCAAGCAGGCAAGCAGGCAAGCAGGCAAGCAGGCAAGCAGGCAAGCAGGCAAGCAGGCAAGCAGGCAAGCAGGCAAGCAGGCAAGCAGGCAAGCAGGCAAGCAGGCAAGCAGGCAAGCAGGCAAGCAGGCGAGCAGGCAAGCAGGCAGGCAGGCAAGCAGGCAAGCAGGCAAGCAGGCAAGCAGGCAAGCAGGCAAGCAGGCAAGCAGGCAAGCAGGCAAGCAGGCAAGCAGGCAAGCAGGCAAGCAGGCAAGCAGGCAAGCAGGCAAGCAGGCAAGCAGGCAAGCAGGCAGGCAGGCAGGCAGGCAAGCAGGCAGGCAGGCAAGCAGGCAAGCAGGCAGGCAGGCAGGCAGGCAAGCAGGCAAGCAGGCAAGCAGGCAAGCAGGCAAGCAGGCAGGCAGGCAGGCAGGCAGGCAGGCAGGCAGGCAGGCAAGCAGGCAAGCAGGCAAGCAGGCAAGCAGGCAAGCAGGCAAGCAGGCAAGCAGGCAAGCAGGCAAGCAGGCAAACAGGCAAGCAGGCAAGCAGGCAAGCAGGCAAGCAGGCAGGCAGGCAGGCAGGCAGGCAGGCAGGCAGGCAGGCAGGCAGGCAGGCAGGCAGGCAGGCAGGCAGGCAGGCAGGCAGGCAGGCAGGCAGGCAGGCAGGCAGGCAGGCAGGCAGGCAAGCAGGCAAGCAGGCAAGCAGGCAAACAGGCAAGCAGGCAAGCAGGCAAGCAGGCAAGCAGGCAAGCAGGCAAGCAGGCAAGCAGGCAAGCAGGCAAGCAGGCAAGCAGGCAAGCAGGCAGGCAGGCAGGCAGGCAGGCAGGCAGGCAAGCAGGCAAGCAGGCAGGCAGGCAGGCAGGCAAGCAGGCAAGCAGGCAAGCAGGCAAGCAGGTAGGCAGGTAGGCAGGCAGGCAGGCAGGCAGGCAAGCAGGCAAGCATGCAGGCAGGCAGGCAGGCAAGCAGGCAAGCAGGCAAGCAGGCAAGCAGGCAAGCAGGCAAGCAGGCAAGCAGGCAAGCAGGCAAGCAGGCAAGCAGGCAAGCAGGCAAGCAGGCAAGCAGGCAAGCAGGCAAGCAGGCAAGCAGGCAAGCAGGCAAGCAGGCAAGCAGGCAAGCAGGCAAGCAGGCAAGCAGGCAAGCAGGCAAGCAGGCAAGCAGGCAAGCAGGCAAACAGGCAAGCAGGCAAGCAGGCAAGCAGGCAAGCAGGCAAGCAGGCAAGCAGACAAGCAGGCAAGCAGGCAAGCAGGCAAGCAGGCAAGCAGGCAAGCAGGCAGGCAGGCAGGCAGGCAGGCAGGCAGGCAGGCAGGCAGGCAGGCTGGCAGGCTGGCAAGCTGGCAAGCAGGCAAGCAGGCAAGCAGGCAAGCAGGCAAGCAGGCAAGCAGGCAAGCAGGCAGGCAGGCAGGCAGGCAGGCAGGCAGGCGGGCAGGCGGGCAGGCAGGCAGGCAGGCAGGCAGGCAGGCAGGCAGGCAGGCAAGCAGGCAAGCAGGCAAGCAGGCAAGCAGGCAAGCAGGCAAGCAGGCAAGCAGGCAAGCAGGCAAGAAGGCAAGCAGGCAAGCAGGCAGGCAGGCAGGCAGGCAGGCAGGCAGGCAGGCAAGCAGGCAAGCAGGCAGGCAGGCAGGCAGGCAAGCAGGCAAGCAGGCAAGCAGGCAAGCAGGTAGGCAGGCAAGCAGGCAAGCAGGCAAGCAGGCAGGCAGGCAGGCAGGCAGGCAGGCAGGCAGGCAGGCAGGCAGGCAGGCAGACAAGCAGGCAAGCAGGCAAGCAGGCAGGCAGGCAAGCAGGCAAGCAGGCAAGCAGGCAAGCAGGCAAGCAGGCAAGCAGGTAGGCAGGTAGGCAGGCAAGCAGGCAAGCAGGCAAGCAGGCAAGCAGGCAAGCCGGCAGGCAGGCAAGCAGGCAAGCAGGCAAGCAGGCAAGCAGGCAAGCAGGCAAGCAGGCAAGCAGGCAAGCAGGTAGGCAGGCAGGCAGGCAAGCAGGCAAGCATGCAAGCAGGCAGGCAGGCAAGCAGGCAAGCAGGCAAGCAGGCAAGCAGGCAAGCAGGCAAGCAGGCAAGCAGGCAAGCAGGCAAGCAGGCAAGCAGGCAAGCAGGCAAGCAGGCAAGCAGGCAAGCAGGCAGGCAGGCAGGCAGGCAAGCAGGCAAGCAGGCAAGCAGGCAAGCAGGCCAGCAGGCAAGCAGGCAAGCAGGCAAGCAGGCAAGCAGGCAAGCAGGCAAGCAGGCAAGCAGGCAAGCAGGCAAGCAGGCAAGCAGGCAAGCAGGCAAGCAGGCAAGCAGGCAGGCAGGCAGGCAGGCAAGCAGGCAAGCAGGCAAGCAGGCAAGCAGGCCAGCAGGCAAGCAGGCAAGCAGGCAAGCAGGCAAGCAGGCAAGCAGGCAAGCAGGCAAGCAGGCAAGCAGGCAGGCAGGCAGGCAGGCAAGCAGGCAGCCAGGCAAGCAGGCAAGCAGGCAAGCAGGCAGGCAGGCAGGCAGGCAGGCAGGCAGGCAGCCAAGCAGGCAGGCAAGCAGGCAAGCAGGCAAGCAGGCAAGCAGGCAGGCAGGCAGGCAGGCAGGCATGCAGGCAGGCAGGCAAGCAGGCAAGCAGGCATGCAGGCAAGCAGGCAAGCAGGCAAGCAGGCAAGCAGGCAAGCAGGCAAGCAGGCAAGCAGGCAAGCAGGCAAGCAGGCAGGCAGGCAAGCAGGCAAGCAGGCAAGCAGGCAAGCAGGCAGGCAGGCAGGCAGGCAGGCAGGCAAGCAGGCAAGCAGGCAAGCAGGCAAGCAGGCAAGCAGGCAAGCAGGCAAGCAGGCAAGCAGGCAAGCAGGCAAGCAGGCAGGCAGGCAGGCAGCAGGCAGGCAGGCAAGCAGGCAAGCAGGCAAGCAGGCAAGCAGGCAAGCAGGCAAGCAGGCAAGCAGGCAAGCAGGCAAGCAGGCAAGCAGGCAAGCAGGCAAGCAGGCAAGCAGGCAAGCAGGCAAGCAGGCAAGCAGGCAAGCAGGCAAGCAGGCAAGCAGGCAGGCAGGCAAGGCAGGCAAGCAGGCAAGCAGGCAAGCAGGCAAGCAGGCAAGCAGGCAAGCAGGCAGGCAGGCAGGCAGGCAAGCAGGCAGGCAGGCAAGCAGGCAAGCAGGCAAGCAGGCAAGCGGGCAGGCAGGCAGGCAGGCAAGCAGGCAAGCAGGCAGGCAGGCAGGCAGGCAAGCAGGCAAGCAGGCAAGCAGGCAAGCAGGTAGGCAGGCAAGCAGGCAAGCAGGCAAGCAGGCAAGCAGGCAAGCAGGCAAGCAGGCAGGCAGGCAAGCAGGCAAGCAGGCAAGCAGGCAAGCAGGCAAGCAGGTAGGCAGGCAGGCAGGCAGGCATTCAAGCAGGCAAGCAGGCAAGCAGGCAGGCAGGCAAGCAGGCAAGCAGGCAAGCAGGCAAGCAGGCAAGCAGGCAAGCAGGCAAGCAGGCAAGCAGGCAAGCAGGCAAGCAGGCAAGCAGGCAAGCAGGCAAGCAGGCAAGCAGGCAAGCAGGCAAGCAGGCAAGCAGGCAAGCAGGCAAGCAGGCAAGCAGGCAAGCAGGCAAGCAGGCAAGCAGGCAAGCAGGCAAGCAGGCAAGCAGGCAAGCAGGCAAGCAGGCAAGCAGGCAAGCAGGCAGGCAGGCAGGCTGGCAAGCAGGCAAGCAGGCAAGCAGGCAAGCAGGCAAGCAGGCAAGCAGGCAAGCAGGCAAGCAGGCAAGCAGGCAAGCAGGCAAGCAGGCAAGCATGCAAGCAGGCAAGCAGGCAAGCAGGCAAGCAGGCAAGCAGGCAAGCAGGCAAGCAGGCAAGCAGGCAAGCAGGCAGGCAGGCAGGCAGGCAGGCAGGCAGGCAGGCAAGCAGGCAAGCAGGCAAGCAGGCAAGCAGGCAAGCAGGCAAGCAGGCAAGCAGGCAAGCAGGCAAGCAGGCAAGCAGGCAAACAGGCAGGCAGGCAGGGTGCACTGAGGCTCTAGCTGGAATGCGGCTCCTCTCTTTTCAACCCCAGCCAAAACACGCATGTCAACGTGTTGCTGCAGGCCAAGCAGGCAGGGTGCATTGAGACCCTTGCCCGTATGTTGCCTTCATCCACCCCCACACCCCCCCCCCCACCCTCTCCCTCGTTTCCTGTGCTGCTGTGGGCAAAGAAGCACGGTACATCAAGGGAAGATTTGTTTTGAAACATCTCAAAACAAATCTTGTATCACTGAAGCAGGGGATATTTAGGCCTTGTGTGGGATGCTGCCCCTTTTGTTTCACCACCCATAACCGTGTCCTCCCACTTCCTTCATGTGCTGCAGCCCAACGAAGCAGGGTACAGGCAGGCCCTGGCTACAATGCTGCCCCTCTTTTCTCAACCCCAACCCCCCCGTCCCTACCAACCTCGTCCCACCAACCTCGTCCCACCAACCTCGTCCCACCACCCTCGTCCCACCACCCTCGTCCCACCCTTCTCTTTCCTGTGTGCTGGTGCAGGCGAAGGAAGCGGGGTACATTGAGACGCTGGCTGCAATGCTGCCCAAGGCAGAGGAGATCGACTCTAAGCCCGCCAGATGAGACGTGGTGTCTTTGAATCACGCCTATCTGCGCCAACCACGTTACGCCAAGATGTCACTTGCACTTGGGTGTTGCACACCAGCATGCTCCTTTCAGTATCTTCTATCCTGCCTGTCATAACCTTTGCACTGTAATTTGGCATTAATCGGTTTGAACTTGCAGGAGCCTGCAAGAGACTATAGTCTCTGCCCGTGCTTGCGGATCCCAGTAGGAGCCTGCACTCCAACTACCGTACCACATCCCATGCTATCAATCATCACCGCACAGAACCACTTCTTTGCATATCCATCAATTCTGCATTGAATTCTGCCTGCATCCGGGCTCTGTTACTCCCAACAGCTTCCACCTATGGGGTCTTCTAATACAACGCACTAGCAGTTGTAAAGATGTGTGCACCCATGTTACGGGGTGGGCACTGCCACAGGTACAGTGGCTGTCATTGATCCAGACTCAGTTCTAAAATAGTAAAAACATACAATATACACTTGAATTGGGAACCCCCAATTCTCTTACACCATAAAAACACATCCTTGAGAGCAGTGGCCAGCAGCTGTGAGGGCGTTCTTTCAGCCAGCTATAATGAGCCCACCAACCACCACACTTGCACTGCTGCGTGTCAGTCCTGGCACGCTACACGACAGGGTTTAGGGTTCCATGCCATTGTACGGCGAGGCTGTTAGTACTTGTAGGGCTGCTGCTGCGACGGCAGGAGCTTGAAGCGCGACTTGCAGGCGACCCGCTGCTTGGAGTACTTGTCGTCAGGAGAGAAGCGCGCTGATGAGGGGGAAGCACAGAGGGGAAGCACAGAGGGGATGGATGGGACCAAGGGGCATCAACGACAACGACGTGCTCTGGCGTGTGTGTGACGCCGTGGAACCGACCCTCTGCGTGGAGTGCATGTCCCAAGGCGAGAGGCGCCTGGTGACGGGAATCAAAGGGGATGGGTGGGCGTGCGAGGAATGCGAGGAGCGCGAGCAAGGGAGAGGTCTACCACGGTTAGTGTGCTGCTAAATGAACTATCGTCGAGGGAGAAACGCGCTGGTGAGGGGACGCAGGGAGGGGTGAGGTGCAGATGGGAGGACGAGAAAAGGTGCAGTGAGCAGAAGGCTGAACAGGGCTGGCGACTCTTTTCACTGCTCGGCGTTAGAACGAGGAACGAACGCGTGGTGAGGTTAAGGACGAGCGGAAAGCGCGGGAGCATGAGCGCGCCAGGGAGAAGAGAGGAGTTCCACGTGCAGCGGTGAAGAGCCAGAAGAAGCAGCGAGGGCGAGAGCAGTGAAGGGGAGAGCAGCGAGGGCGAGAGCAGCGGACGGACCTGGATGTGCGGATTGTGTTGGCTTTGCGCCGTCGGGCATCATTCTCTGCGCGCAGTCACGGGCGAGAGAAGGGAGTCAGAACACACGTCCGTGAAGAACCTCGATATAGTTATGAAGAAAGAGAATATCAACCGGATGCACTATCACTTATGGCGTCATGCTGCCATCATGACCCATCATGCGATCCTGTTTGCGACGGACGGGATGCGTCTATATGAACGGCTCGTGCATGGCCAAGTACAGCCATGGCTGCTGCGAAAGCGAAGCGGCGATCTACTACGCTGCGCGATCCTCACGGTCTCGCCGTAACCGAAAAGCAGAAGCGCCTTACCTTGAGAGTGTACACTTTCTTGCCGTTCTCGTCGATGTACACCTGAAGAAACATGGCGGTCGGTCGAACTAACTACAATCCGGAATGAACACACGGACACACGGAACGATGTACGCAGCGACGTGCGCCGATGTGCGCGATTAACAAGCAGAGCTCTTGACGCAGTAACTTCGGCGCTGCGGAAAGGCCACGCGGCTGCTAGTAGTGGGAGTGCTGGAGGCGGGAGAGGCGCGCGGATATATCAGGGTTCAGCAGGGTTTGATAATCAGGCGTGTGCAAGCAAAGAGAGGGCTTGAGGTGCACGCGAAAGACTACATGTACTCGCAACGGAAACTGGTAGTCGTGATCCGTGCGAAGGAAGCACTTGTCAGTGCGAAATATTCGCGATTTCAAGAAACCACTCACTGCGAACATTGGCGACTCGAGCTACTAGCCGAACCAGACCCCGGACGTATTCCTCATCACCTCGGGTCATCCACGTTACACCTGCCGGTGCAAATTTGGAGCCAACATTTAGACTTTCGTTTGGTCATGGCTTTCTTGAGCACAACAGAAATGGTTGACTTCCACTCGGGACCTTGAAACCGTTGTGGGTGTGTTGCTCGCCTGCTGCCAGGAAGGAGGAGCGAGGGTTTGGTTGGTTTGGGTTTGTCTTTCCTGCAGAACCCGGCCTTCCATGACCGTTGATGCACGGCAGGGCGAGCCCTAAAACTGGAGGTGAAGGCAGATGCTTTCTGTCGCCACGTGCAGGACTACTTACCTCCCACAGCGCCAGTACTATCAGAGCCTGAGTGCACGCATATAGACGAATAGGCTCTGACAAAAGCGACAGAGTGTACTGCGCTGAAGGCTCCGGAAAGCTTAGAAGCAGCGGGGGGACCAGCCTTGAATCCTTGAAGCACGGGGCGTCTCGATCCCACGTGGGAATTGCTCAGAGCGTCGCGTCCTCGCTGGAACGTGTACATTATCGAGTTGTGCCACAAACGAGGCACAGTGCCGTTTATACGCGCCATAGGTATTTCATGATCGCGCGCTATCGAGCTTTGCGTAGCTGCTTAACGCTCGATCGATACGACTGCTCAGTCAATATTTTGCGATCGATATATTTTTCGCAGCCATGGCTCCCGCACGAGCACCTGGGGCTCTCTCCCGCGCACCAATTCGGCTCCTCGTCCTCGTGTCGCTCATCTTCGCTCTCGGAACGCACCCTATCGGAGCTGACATTGTTACGGCCGCACAGCTCGCTACTGTCACGCAGCCTGTAATTGTCACACAACCCGTCACGGTCACAAGTCCCGTTACGGTCACACAACCCGTTGCGGTCGCACAACCCGTTGCGGTCGCACAACCCGTTGCGGTCGCACAACCCGTTATTGTCACGCAACCCAGCAGCAAGCATCGCCTGTTCTTGCGCATAGGCCCTGGTGATAACACTGAAGGCGACTACAGCGAAGGCGATTCGGCTTCCGCTGAAACCGTAGGGGGGGATGGCAGCGAGGATTTGGCGAGAGATCCTGCTTCCGCTGAAGCCGCTTTCTCGGAAGCAGTTAATCCCGAAGCATTTGATTCTGGCGACAGCGCTCAAGTGTGGCGCGTCAGCAGCGATGGCAGTGTCGAGAGCATCGGCAGCAACCTGGGAAACGGAGACGGTGACGGAGACGTAGACGGAGGCGACATGGACGATTTCCCGCATTACACCGTCTTCGGCTTCTTCGCCGTCTGCGCCACGCTCGTGCTGCTCCTCCCGCTGGCGCTCCGCCACGTCATCGCCAGCTCAGCGCATCTCGCGGCGTCCGCCGCGCGGGAGTTCTCCGAGCCGTGGACGGCCGTGCTCAACCACCTGCTGGTCGTGTACACCGCCTCGCAAGTCGCCCTTTTCGCCCTTCTCTTCCTCCCGCCCGCGCTCGTCTTCGACATCCTCGCGTTCCTGCGCAACGCCTGCCGCCCGCGGCGCGCCGGCCACCTGAGCTACTTCATCCCGCCGTTCCTGCGCGCCTTCGTCCGCCCGTGGCTCGTGCTGCTGTGCGGCGGGTCCACCAGAGGCGCGGGGGGAGGGGAGGGAGGGGAAGGGGGAGATGGGGAGAGCGGGGAGGGGGAGGAGGAGGGGATGGTGTTTCTCGGGCCGATGACGGCTGAGGAGCTGGCGGCGCTGCCGCAGGTGGTGTACGGTGGGGAGGGGTGCGACGGGGAAGGTTTAGCAGGTGATGATACCGATGGTGATTGTAAAGAGGGGCTGATAACGAAAAGCCTTCCGGTTAGGCCTGTAGGCTTGTCGGGCCCAAGTGTAGATAGAAGGCATTCACTGGTGGCAGCAGCAGAGAGAGGGGCGGTGGAGGGAGGAGCAGCAGTTGAGAACCTGGTCTGTGAGGGCGAAGCTAGTGGGGCTAGTCTAGAGGCACAGACAGTAGCGACAGCAGCAGCACCAGCACCAGCACCAGCAGTGTCAGCAGGAAGCGAGGAGAGAGAGCAGCGGGAAAGAGCAGCGGGTGCAGCAGGGGTTGTGGCTGCAGAGGCTGAGGCAAGGGCCGAGTGTGCAGTAGGCGCTGCCGGGAGGTGCGAGGTGGAGGAGGAGGAGCCGTCTCAGCCGCTGCTAGACGCAGGCAGCAGAGAGAGAGGGGACTGGACGGTGCAGGTGGATGGGGAGGGGAGTGGGGGTGGGGATGGGGATAGGGTGGGTCGAGTGGAGAGCAGCGAGGAGGATCCGTGCACCATCTGCTTCGATGGCTTCAAGAAGGGCGACCAGCTCAGAGTGCTGCCGTGCCAACACAGTGAGTTGGGGGGTCTCTCGCCACCACACACACGCACGCAACCACAGCGCCGCCCGCTCACGCGCGCGCACACACACGCAAGCGTGCGGGCACACAGATGCGCAACGCACATGCTTTCCTGCCCACTTTTACTTATTATGACTCCTTGGTTTCTCCGCATGGCATGCTTCCACACAGCATGCATATCTTTGCGAGGTGCAATGAAACGCACTCACACAATCCCCCACACTCTCCTCCTCTGCTTCTCCCCCCCAACCCCCCCATGACCTGTCTACCTGTCAGGGTTCCACACAGCGTGCATCAACAAGTGGTTCATGAAGAAGCCCCACTGGCCATTCACACTACCCTCATCTGCGTCGTCTCACACTATCGTCTTCCTTCTATTGGATTCCTTTCCCATGACTCGCCTGCGTTTCAGGTTTCCACACGGCATGCATCGACGAGTGGCTCATGAAGAAGCCCCTGTGCCCGCTGTGCAAGCGCTGTGCGCGCCCCCCACCGCCCCCCACCCTGAGGACACACCGCATGTTCCTGTGGGTGCTCTCCCACACTGCCTCCTGGGACTTCTCCCAAGCGGGCGGGCTCATGGGCATGCTGTGGATGGCCACGCTTCTGCTCTATGTCATGCACATGGGCTCGGATTAGCATGGGCTTGTAAAAAGACCACTCTCGGGTTGGCAACCATATGTTGCCATAATATGCGACGGTGTATATTCAACGTTGCCATGATATCTATAGCATGGTGCCATAACGCTCATTTGTATAGCTGATGTGTGGCAAGCCTTAGGCTCTTACGGCGATAATATATGGTCGCATGGCCCTCACTTTATAAGGATTGTACGTGGTACTATGCGAACTGTACATCAGACCCCTTCTATCTCACATCATGTCCAAGCAATAGAGCAGCCGAGAGCTAAAACCGAGGTTTGCCCGGAAACGTTTATAATGGAATAATTTTGTAGCGAGGCTGCTCTTGTTGCACCGTGCCATCATCTTCACAGGGAACTCCAAAGCGCCTGCGGCATTCCCAGAATTCCATCCAGTACCACGCGACCCTGTCCCTCCGCCTTGCGAATGAGAGCAGGTTGTGAAGCCCAGGAGGTTGCCTCTTGCCTGACCGTGCAACTCCCTCGAGCCTTGGGATTACAGGTTTAGCCAATTAGCCCTGGAAAGCCCTGGAAAGCCCCGGAATGCCCCGGAAAGCGCAGAGCGGAGGAAAGCGCAGCGCGGAGGAAAGCGCAGGAAGGATGCGGTTCTTAGCTCCTCAGCAGCCACCTCGCTCCCCAACGAGTCGTTCCAGGTAGTAAGCCCGTCCGCCATGGGCAACGGGTCGCCGCTACATCCCTCGCTGAAGAATTCTTCGCTCAAGCAGCAGTCGTCAGGACACTCGGCGTCGCTGCCGACGATTCCGTCGCAGGCGAGAGACGATGCGACCAACGCCGCGGCGGCGTACGCGGCTTCGAATAGGATGCGCGTCTCCGCCGTCCGATGGGACGATCTGGACCGTCTGAACAGCCCCGGCGACTCGGCACGTCAGCACGAGCCCACCGATATTCCCACGTGGCCGACTCTGTCTGGCGTGACGGCGACGAGCTCAGCCGCAGAGAGCGAGCGCGCGGGGCACGAGGCGTGGGACGAGGCGAGGGCGCGCAGGGAGTGGGGGGACGACGCGTCCGCGGCGCAAAGACGGACGAACGGGAGGGCGGAAAGAGGGGAGCGGGGGGAGTGGGGGGAACGGGTGGGAGGGGAAGGGGCGGAAGGGGCGGATCTGGATGAGCAGAACAGATACGAGCTGCCGCACAAGCAGCGCTTCCCAGGGGACCATGACCTGTCGCCGCTACAGCAGGTAAGCTGTTCACGCCGCTACAGCAGGTAAGCTGTTCTCGCCGCTACAGCAGGTAAGCTGTTCTCGCTGCTACAGCAGGTAAGCTGTTCTCGCCGCTACAGCAGGTAAGCTGTTCTCGCCGCTACAGCAGGTAAGCTGTTCTCGTCTCGCCGCTACAGCAGGTAAGCTGTTCTCGCCGCTACAGCAGGTAAGCTGTTCTCGCTGCTACAGCAGGTAAGCTGTTCTCGCCGCTACAGCAGGTAAGCTGTTCTCGCCGCTACAGCAGGTAAGCTGTTCTCGCCGCTGCAGCAGGTGAGGCCCTGCTCGCCACTAGAGCAAGTAGGCCCCTGTCGCCGCTGGGATAGGTTGATTCCTGTTGTCTCACCACAGAGAACCTACGGGTGGCTGCAGCAGCAGCATAGCAACCGGCAGCAGCAGCATAGCAGCCGGCAGCAACAGCATAGCAGCCGGCAGCAGCAGCAAAGCAACCGGCAGCAGCAGCATAGCAACCGCCAGCAGCAGCAGCATAGCAACCGGCAACAGCAGCATAGCAACCGGCAGCAGCAGCAGCATAGCAACCGGCAGCAGCAGCACAGCAACCGGCAGCAGCAGCACAGCAACCGGCAGCAGCAGCAGCACAGCAACCGGCAGCAACAGCACAGCAACCGGCAGCAGCAGCACAGCAACCGGCAGCAACAGCACAGCAACCGGCAGCAGCAGCACAGCAACCGGCAGCAGCAGTACAGCAACCCGCAGCAGCAGCACAGCAACCGGCAGCAGCAGCACAGCAACCGGCAGCAGCAGCAAAGCAACCGGCAAGTCCCAGGGACAGTCCGTGCAGATAAGTGCCTCTGCAGCTCGACAGACCGACAGCCATTGGCAGCTGCTGCAGCTGCAGAGAGGGCCTGTGAGATGGGCGTGCGTCTCAGATGGCGTGTCAGATGGCGTGTCAGATGGCGTGTCAGGTGGCGTGTCAGATGACGTGTCTGTGGGCGTGTCGGATGGGCGTGTCAGAGTGGAGGGGTAGTGGGAGCAGAATACTGCAAGTTGTGATGAGGCAGCACACAATCAATGACGTCATCCATTCTGGTGGTGGTGACCTCACTCCTCCTGCTCGTGGGAAGGCTGCCCGTGTCAGTTCAGTTCCTGCACTGCACGCCCCTCTCACCGCTGGGTCCCCCGTCAATCACCTCACACTCTCCTCCGCACACCCCACCGCACCGCACTCCCCACCCCAGTTCCTGCACTAGGGGCGTCCTACACGCCCCTCGGACGCCCCTCAAGGGGCTCCACCCACTGCGCCTTGGCATGGCCTCGCTCGCACGGGGCAGCACACTCACCCCCTCATGTGCTCCCTTCTCCTCCCCCAATCCCCCCCCCCCATATCAGTTTCTGCACTGGGCCTCCCAGACCCTCCTGGGTCGCCCCTCACGGGGCTCCACGCACTCAGCCTTCGCCATTTCCCGCATGGCCTCGCAGAGCGCAGCAAACCTCCCACCCTCCGACAGCCGAGCCAGCAGCGTAGGCTCGGGGCTCCGACCTGAAGGCTCGGCAACGCTAGGCAGGGCCAAGGCCCTGTCGCGGTCCGACACATTCTTTCTGCGCGAGATGCGCGCCACAGAGGTGCTGGGCAGCGCCGTGGTGGCGCCGGACAATGGGTGAGTGACCGACGATAGTGAGTGCATGTCAGAATGAGGCAGGGCCAAGGCCCTGTCACGGTCCGACACGTTCTGCAGGGCCAAGGGCCTTTCTGCAGGAGATGCGCGCCACAGAGGTGCTGGGTAGCGCCGTGGTGGCGCCGGACAATGGGTGAGTGCGTGGCAGAATCAGGCAGGCCCGGGGAAGGTGATATTCTAGTGGCATGGCAGCAGGTTGAGTGTTTGTGGGTTCCTCTATCCCCTCCCTCCGTCTGCCATGCCCTCGCCCCCTCCCATCCTCGTCTCCCTCCATGGCCCACCCCTTGCCATCAACGCAACCGCCTCGTTTCCTCCTACCCCCCCCTCAACCTCAACTCTCTCACTGCCACCTACCTGCTGTTGCCGCAGCAGCTCTTTCTCCCCCTGCCCTGACACATCTCACAGTCCGGTTCCCTGTCCTTCCGCTTCCTTTCTCTCCTCCCTCCCATCCACTCTCCGCCTCGCTCTTCCGTTCGACTCAGCTACCTGCTGCTGTGGCAGCAGCTCGTTCCTCCTTCCTGCCCGTGTTTTGAGGCGCTCCAATGCCCTTCTGATGCTTCCTCCCCTCCCCTTCTCCCTCTCTTCCCCCTCCCCAGCTACCTACTATTGTGGCAGCAGCTGGTCCTCGTGCTGTCCTTCTACTCCGCCTTCATCACGCCCCTCGAGTTCTCCTTCCTGCCCGTGCTGCCGCCGGGCCTGGCCATGGCGGATAACATCATCAACGCCTTCTTCCTCGCCGACCTGCTGCTCACCTTCTTCGTCGCCTTCAAGGACAGGCGGACGCAGAGCTACGTGTGCGACCACTGGAGCATCGCCACCAGGTGAGGTGCGGTGCAGTGCGGTGGGATGAGGTGAATTGCAATGAGGTGAGGTGCAGAGGTGCGGTGCAGAGGTGCGGTGCAGTGAGGTTTGGTGAGTGCAGGGAATGTCTCCTTCCTGGGGGACCTGCTGCTCGCATTCTTTGTGGCATGCAAGGGCAGAAGGTCCCAGAGCTATGATTGCGAACATTGGAGCATCGCCACCAGGTGCAGTGCGGTGAAGTGAGGTGAAACGAGGTGAGAGTGGAGGGCGTGGGGAGGTGAGGTTAGATCGACCGTGTGTGGAAGCGGAGGAGTGCGGATCATGAACCAGTCACGTCTGGAGGCGGATGGCTTGGGGGAATGGATTTGGGGGGAATGGATTCGGGGGGAATGGATTTGGGGGGAATGGATTTGGGGGGAATGGATTTGGGGGGAATGGATTTGGGGGGAATGGATTTGGGGGGATGGCTTTGGGGGGTTGGCTTTGGGGGGGAACGCTCTGGGTGGGGGGCGGTTCGAGGGGTGAATGGCTCCGAGCGGGGGGTGGTTTGGGGATGCCTTTGTGGGGGATGGGGAGGGGTGAATCAGCTTTCCACTGCGCTTCGTTCAGCCTACCGGGATACTGCGCTTCGTTGCAGCCGACCTCACATGCTCCTCACCGTCCCTCACTTTTCCTCACCTTCACTCGCCTTCACTCGCCTTCACTCGCCGTCACTCGCCTTCACTCGCCTTCACTCGCCTTCACTCGCCGTCACTCGCCTTCACTCGCCTTCACTCGCCTTCACTCGCCTTCACTCGCCTTCACTCGCCTTCACTCGCCTTCACTCGCCTTCACTCGCCTTCACTCGCCTTCACTCGCCGTCACTCGCCTTCACTCGCCTTCACTCGCCTTCACTCGCCTTCACTCGCCTTCACTCGCCTTCACTCGCCTTCACTCGCCTTCACTCGCCTTCACTCGCCTTCACTCGCCTTCACTCGCCTTCACTCGCCTTCACTCGCCTTCACTCGCCTTCACTCGCTCGCCTTCACTCACTTTCACTCGCCTTCACTCGCCTTCACTCGCCTTCACTCGCCTTCACTCGCCTTCACATGTTTACCTTCTGGTCACTTGACAGCCCTCCTGTGGCATGTGGCGCTTCATGGTTGCACGGTGCATGGCACGGTGGTGCATGGCACGGTGGTGCATGGCACGGTGGTGCATGGCATGGTGGTGCATGGCACGGTGGTGCATGGCACGGTGGTGCATGGCACGGTGGTGCATGGCATGGTGGTGCATGGCACGGTGGTGCATGGCACGGTGGTGCATGGCATGGTGGTGCATGGCATGGTGGTGCATGGCATGGTGGTGCATGGCATGGTGGTGCATGGCACGGTGGTGCATGGCACGGTGGTGCATGGCACAATGGTGCATGGCACGGTGGTGCATGGCACGGTGGTGCATGGCACGGTGGTGCATGGCACGGTGGTGCATGGCACGGTGGTGCATGGCACGGTGGTGCATGGCACGGTGGTGCATGGCACGGTGGTGCATGGCACGGTGGTGCATGGCACGGTGGTGCATGGCACGGTGGTGCATGGCACGGTGGTGCATGGCACGGTGGTGCATGGCACGGTGGTGCATGGCACGGTGGTGCATGGCACGGTGGTGCATGGCACGGTGGTGCATGGCATGGTGGTGCATGGCACGGTGGTGCATGGCATGGTGGTGCATGGCATGGTGGTGCATGGCATGGTGGTGCATGGCACGGTGGTGCATGGCACGGTGGTGCATGGCACGGTGGTGCATGGCATGGTGGTGCATGGCACGGTGGTGCATGGCATGGTGGTGCATGGCATGGTGGTGCATGGCATGGTGGTGCATGGCATGGTGGTGCATGGCATGGTGGTGCATGGCATGGTGGTGCATGGCACGGTGGTGCATGGCATGGTGGTGCATGGCATGGTGGTGCATGGCACGGTGGTGCATGGCACAGTGGTGCATGGCATGGTGGTGCATGGCATGGTGGTGCATGGCATGGTGGTCCATCACATAGTGACTCATCTTTCTCCGCCCGTCCCTCCCCACCAGCCTCGCAGGTATCGCTGCACGTCGGTCGTCGCCGGCCTGCGCTCTCCGCCCGCCCATTCCTCAGACGCTGTTTCCTCAGACGCTGTTTCCTCAGACGCTGTTTCCTCAGACGCTGTTTCCTCAGACGCTGTTTCCTCAGACGCTGTTTCCTCAGACGCTGTTTCCTCAGACGCTGTCTCCTCAGACGCTGTCTCCTCAGACGCTGTTTCCTCAGACGCTGTTTCCTCAGACGCTGTCTCCTCAGACGCTGTTTCCTCAGACGCTGTTTCCTCAGACGCTGTTTCCTCAGACGCTGTTTCCTCAGACGCTGTCTCCTCAGACGCTGTTTCCTCAGACGCTGTTTCCTCAGACGCTGTTTCCTCAGACGCTGTTTCCTCAGACGCTGTTTCCTCAGACGCTGTTTCCTCAGACGCTGTTTCCTCAGACGCTGTTTCCTCAGACGCTGTTGTGAGAATCTGAAGTGATGATTGTATTAGGAAAGGAGTGGGTATACATAGGTGAGGAGTAGGAGAGAGGGGGGGGGGTTTTGGTTGGGAGGTGACCACGATTATTGGTGACCCCAATAAGTTGAGTTGGCCAACTTATTGGGGGTCCAATAATCCTAGCCAAGATTATTGGTGGGTCCAATAATCTTGGTTGGGATTATTGGGGGTTCCAATAATTGGGAGCCCAACCAATTTGGGAACCCAACAAGGTTGGGAACCCAACCCCCAACTTGGGTGTATACACCCTAGTGGGGTGCTTATAAGTTCCTAAGACAATGAAACGATGTAGGCTAATAGAATGAAGGGAGAATAGTCTAACACAACCCCTTAGCCTACAGAGTGCCATAAGTCTTGGGAAGGGGAGGAGAAGCAACCCCTGAATCAGGTAGTCCCCTGTGAGGGAGGGGCAAGACCCAGAAGGCGAAGGAGAGCCGCATGGGGACGACGAGGGAGGGCCTTGGTGAAGATGTCGGCAAGGTTGGCTGAAGAGTCAATCTTGCGCACGGTGAGGTGTCCAGCCTGGACGAGCTCACGAACGAAGTAGTGTCGGAGCTCGATGTGTTTGGAGCGACCATGGAAAACGGCTTCCTTTGTGAGGTGGATAGTACTGGCATTGTCGCACCAGATGGTGGGACAGGGCTGGGGAGCATCCAGCTCAGCGAGGAGGAAGCTGAGCCACCGCGCCTCCTGGGCCGCCATGGTGATGGCGTAGAGCTCTGCTTCGCAGGAGGAGAGAGCGATCGAGGAGGAGCGGGTGGAGCGCCAGGAAATGAGGCCGCTCCCGAGGGAGAAACCATACCCCTGTGAGCTGCGACGATCGGGCTGAGAATCTGCCCAAGAGGAGTCGCTGTAGCCAGTGAGCTGAGGAGGGGTGGGGCCGCCCAAGGTGAGGACATAGTCCTTGGTGCCTTTGATGTAGCGGAGAACGCGCTTGGCCGCTTGCCAGTGCTCGGGAGTGTGTTTGCCAGCGCCGACAAAGCGCGCCAGGACACTGATAGGGTAGGCGAGGTCGGGGCGAGTGCACATCATGGCGTACATCAGGGACCCGACCAGCTCAGCGTAAGGACTGGTGGAGGAACCGTGGGTGGTTGTCGGCGAGAGCTGGTGGCCGACTTGGAGGGGTGTGGAGACGGGTTTGGCCGTGGCCATCTCGAAGCGTTCAAGGACCTTCTCGAGGTAGAATGCCTGAGAGAGGGAGATGGTCCTGGCCGTACGATCGCGAGAAATCTCAATCCCGAGGTAGTTGCGGACCTCCCCCAGGTCCTTGCAGAGGAGGCGCTTCTGCAGCTCATCCTTGACCTGTTGTAGGTCTGCTTCGTTGTCAGCAGCAAGAAGCATGTCGTCGACGTAGACGAGGATATAGAAGAGGGAGGGGGAGGTGCGCAGGAAGAGGCAGGAGGAAGCCTGGGAAGGGCGAAAACCAAGAGCACGGAGAGTGCTCGAGAGCTTGGCATGCCATTCCCGAGGAGCTTGCTTGAGGCCGTAGACCGGGCGGCGAAGTTCCCAAACGGTGTTGGGAGGGAAAGGGAGGTGCCAGCCCTCGGGACGCTCCATGAAGATGCGCTCATGGAGTTCACCTTGGAGAAATGCCGTGGTGACATCCATCGAGTGCAGGATCATGCCGCGCCGGCCAACGAAGTCCAAGAACACGCGGACGACAGGGGGAGTGGCGGTCGGCGAGTACGTGTCAAGGAAGTCATGGCCGTACCGCTGCGTAAATCCTTTGGCGCAGTAGCGGGCCTTATAGACCGGGTCGTCGCCAGGGAGGAGCTTGACCCGAAATACCCATTTGCCTTTGACCACGTTGTGGTTGAGAGGGCGGGGTACGTCGATGAAGGTGCCGTTGCGGACAAAGGCCTCGTTCTCTTTGAGGACTGCCTTGCCCCAATGAGGGTGGTCGGGGCATGTCATAGCTTCGTGATAATCTCCCGGCTCGAAGATGATGGGCGCACCGGAGAAGACCAGTACCGGAGCGCCGGTCATGCTGAAGGCGACTGCTTGGGTGTTGGAGAAGAGGTGGAGGCGAAGAAATTCACCATGGGAGTCTTCGATGAGGAGGGGAGAGAAAGGAGGAGGAAGGGAGGGTGGTGTTGCAAGTCTGCTGCGCTGCTGAGGGGGGAGGCTGCGACACTGCGACTCTGCGACTCGGCTGCACGGCTGCTTGACCGGGGCAACTGCTGCGGCGGATCCTGACGCTGCGGGTGCGGCGACCGGGGCAGGCACTGGTGCGGCGGCGGGAGCTGCTGCGGCGGGTGCGGAAGTGGAAGCAGAGGGTGCTGGAGCGGGTGCCTTTGCCTGAGGGGAGGGAGGGGCTAAGGGCGGACCAAAGAGGGGATCCATGGACCGAGTATGAGGGTGGTGGCGAAGGACAAGGGGAGAAGACACCTGGGGGGGTGGAGGAGGAGGTGGGGGAGGTGGGGGAGGAGGGGGGGAAGGAGGTGGAGGGGGGGGAGGTGGGGAGAAGGGGGAGGATGGAGCGGAAGCGGAGTGAGAGGGAGAGGGGGGGAGTACTGGGTCAAGGATGTCACCTGAGGAAGATGAGGAGGGAGCAGATTCGGGAGGAGGAGGTGCTGGGGGTGGGGGAATAAGAGGGAGAGGGGGGAGGAGGGGGAGGGTGACAGTGTCAGAGGGGATGAAGGGACGAGGAGGAATGGTGAGTGGGTCAGGTGAGGCAGGAGAGGTGTAGTACGGGGAGGATTCGTCAAAGATGACGTCCCGACTACGAATGAGGCGACCTGAGGGGGAATGAAGGAAGAGGTAGTCAGGGGAGGAGGTGTTGTGACCAAGGAATACACAGGGTAGACTCTTGGAGGCGAGCTTCCCTGCTGTGCGTGAGCGGTCGGCTGGGGGTATGAGAACATACGCCCTGGAACCCCAGACGCGCAGGGGGGAGACGTCGGGTTTAGTTGACGTCCACAGCTCGGTGGGGATGGGTGAGGGGAGGAGAGGGTGGGGATACAGGTTAGTGAGGAGGACGGCGTGGAGAAGAGCATAACCCCAGAGAGAAGGCGGGCAGGAGGCGTGAACGAGAAGACACCTGGCGGTCTTTGTAACTTCTCGAACACGAGCTTCTGCCACGCCATTCTGCTGAGGGGAGTGAGGGAGGGTGTAAGTGTGGTGAATACCATGGGTGGAGAAATAGGAAGAGAGATGGTGATTGAGGAATTCACCGCCGCCATCGGAATGGAAGCGGCGAACGGGACGACCGAAGTGGGTGCGCGCCTGCTCGGCCCAGGCGATGATAAAGGCCGATGCTTCGGCCTTCGTGCGAAGGAGGGAGACCGAGGTGTATCGTGAGCGGTCATCGACTAGGACGAGGAGGTAGCGGTGCCCTTGACGGGTGGGGGAGGGGTTGGGGCCCCAGAGATCCATGTGGACAAGATCCAGGAGCTCTGGGGCGCAAGAAGGGTGACTTTTATGAGAAAGCTGCTTGAGCTTGCTCTGGACACAGATGGTGCAAGGTGGGGCGGGGGAGGGAGGGAGTGGGGGGAGAGTGAGGGGAAGGCCATTGAGGAGCCCGGAGGCGACGGCCTTGTGGAGGGTGGCAAAGTTGGGGTGACCTAGGCGGTGGTGGAGGAGGATGGCAGGATGTGTAAGATCACGACAGTGGCACTGAGATGGGGGGGAGCAGGAGGGGCGGGAGGGGAGGTGGAGGGAGGTTGCGGAGGAAAGAGGGGAGGGGGGAGGGGAGGGATGGTGGAGGCAGTGTGACAGGCTGACGGACGGGGAGTGTGAAGGGTGTACATGCGAGTGCGAGGACACATGGAACACGGACGATGAAATGACCCGTGGATGAGTGAAACAAGTCGCAGTGGGTGGCGTGGCCGGGGTAGATTGTTGTGACCCCCGGCCCGTTGAAGTGCACCTTGGGAGACGAGGTTAGTGCGAAGGGAGGGGACATGGAAGCCAGTTACTGAACCTGAGGGGAAGAGGGGGCAGGGAAGGGTGGAGGTATGGCGGGAGGTGACCGAGAAAGTAGAATCGGCTCCAATGATGGTGGAGGGGTTAGGGAGGGGGGTGAGGGCACCAACATCACGAAGGACTGTGACACTGGCGCCGCTGTCAATGACAAACTCAATGGAAGGAGGGGTGGGGTGAGACACGGAGTACTGGAAGGAGGTTTCATTAATAGACTCGGGATACATTGGAGGAATAGCAGGAGAGGCATGGCTAACATGGTTGATGAAGCCAGGTGAGGGAAATGGGGTAAAGCCAGGAGGTCCGGTGGGGGCCTGCGCAGGAGGAGCAGGAGCAGACAGGCCAGAGCTCCAGGCGGAGGGAGGGGAGGGCTGCTGCTGAGACTGCTGGTGCTGCTGAGACTGTTGCAGCTGCTGGAGGAGCTGCTGCAGGAGCTGCTGCGGCTGCTGCTGGGACTGATGCGGATGCTGGTTCTGCTGCGGCTGCTGGTTCTGCTGCGGCTGCTGAGTCTGCTGCGGCTGTGGGGATGGAAGGAGGGGCGTGACCTGCTGGAGGATTTGTGGAGGGAGGTGCTGTGCAAGGATGTGGTGGAGAGAGGTTGAGGAGGGCTGATAGGCGGGGAGGGTACGAACATCAAAGGGAGTGGGAGGTGGAGTGATAGCGGACCAGCGAGGGGGCGTGCCCGTGTTGCCTCGATCAAGCACTCATCAGTGAGGGCCTTGAAACATGTGGTGGTGGCATGGGTGGTTTGGAGGCAGCGCTTACCCTTGTTGGGGCCGTTGCGGATGAGATACTGACACGGGGAGAAGCCGCCGGTGCTGTTGGAACCACTGCTACCCCGCGTCCTCCACTGCGCCCCCCGCCACGTCCACCACCCGATCGTCCCGCCGAAGTACCGCCACGGCCAGCACCACGTCCTCCTTTTGCTTGGGCAGCATGAGCCGTTGGAGGAGACTGGCGGAGGAGCTCCGCTTCAGTTTTCAGAATCCATGCGGCTACATAGGCGGAGTCGGGTGGGAAGCTGGCGTGGACCTCATTGAACGCCACGCGACGGGCCTCATACAAGGGGGTGAGGTCGTCGAGGAGGCGGCAAACGATGAGGGAGTCGGGAAGGGGAGAGCGACGATCGGCAAGGCGTTTGGCAGTGGTGAGGAGGCGGCGCGTGAAGGAGAGGGCGTTGGGGCAGGAGTCAAGGTTGATGTCGAGGAAGGCGCGGTGGAGCGCTAGGAGAGAGTTGGTGTCCTGGAGGTCATAGGTGGCACATAGCTCTTTCCAGAACTCGGGAGCGGAGGAGGGGGTAATTTCGCGTTTGAGGGAGGAAGGAACGCATGCAGACAGGATAGCGAGACATTTGCGGTTGGCAACGTTCCAGGCAGAGTGGCGACGACGGTACTCACGAAAGTCGTCAGCATACTTAGCCGTGGCGTCCTTGTGCTGTTGGAGGAGTGTGTTGGCGGCGTCGTGCGCAGCTTGCTCTGCGTCATACGCGTGATGGAGGAGAGTGTACTCCGCAAAGTCCTTGTCATATTGGTGTTGCACGCGAGCCCAGCGATCAGGGTCGTCGGTGTAGACCAGTGGAGAGGGCTTGGTGGGGGCCGGTCCCGAGGGGGCCGGGGGTGGGGCGGGAGGTGCAGGGGAGACATCAGCGGGACATTCGGGGGGCTACCCTGCATCATTGCCAAGGAGAATGTCAAGGAGGCAGTAGTCGTTGATGATAGCGGATCCGAGGACATTGGTAAGGCTCTGGGCAAAGGTAGCCCAGTTGACAGGGACGGCGTCGTCGATGAGCTCGAGGACGTCGATGGTGGAGATGTCGACGGCGAGTGTTTCGGTGGTCATGGTGCGATTGCGGATGCTGGTGCTGTTGCTGCTGGGGATGAGTGGAGAGGGGAGAAGGAGGAGGGAGGGGAGGGGGGGGAAATACGGCTGCTGCTGCTGATGGTGCGGCTGCTGGAGATGAAGGCGGCTGCTGCAGCTGGTGGGGGGAGGAAGGGGAGTAGGGGGAGGTGGAGGGGGGGAGATGTGGCTGCTGCGGCTGATGAAGGGAGTGGGGAGGAGGTGAAGGCCGGTGGAGGGTGCGGTTGCGGTTGCTGATGCGGCTGCTGCGTTTGATTGAGGAAGGATGCGGCTGCTGCTGTTCGTGGGGAAGGAGGAGAGGAGGAGAGGGGAGGGGGGGGGGGGGGGGGGGGGGGGGGGGGAGAGAGGGAGGGGAGGAGGGAGGGAGGAAGGGGGGGGGGAGGAAGAAGACGGGTGCGCGGAGCGCAGCTCTTAAGTCGCCGTAGCCTTCTTCGGGCGCCCATGCGAAAGGCGACGGCCGGCGCAGATGGTGAGGACCGGACGCCGAAATGCAGACGAGCGCCGCGCCGAAATGCGGCCGGGCGCCGCGCCGAAATGCGGCCGAGCGCCGCACCGAAATGCGGCGGGCGCCGCGCCGAAATGCGGCGGGCGCCGCGCCGAAATGCGGCGAGCGCCGCGCCGAAATGCGGCCAGACGCTGTTTCCTCAGACGCTGTTCCTCAGACGCTGTTTCCTCAGACGCTGTTTCCTCCTCAGACGCTGTTTCCTCAGACGCTGTTTCCTCAGACGCTGTTCCTCAGACGCTGTTTCCTCAGACGCCTGTCTCCTCAGACGCTGTTTCCTCAGACGCTGTTTCCTCAGACGCTGTTTCCTCAGACGCTGTTTCCTCAGACGCTGTTCTCCTCAGACGCTGTTTCCTCAGACGCTGTTTCCTCAGACGCTGTTTCCTCAGACGCTGTTTCCTCAGACGCTGTTTTCCTCAGACGCTGTTTCCTCAGACGCTGTTTCCTCAGACGCTGTTTCCTCAGACGCTGTTTCCTCAGACGCTGTTCCTCAGACGCTGTTTCCTCAGACGCTGTTTCCTCAGACGCTGTTTCCTCAGACGCTGTTTCCTCAGACGCTGTTTCCTCAGACGCTGTTCCTCAGACGCTGTTTCCTCAGACGCTGTTTCCTCAGACTCTGTCTCCTCAGACGCTGTTTCCTCAGACGCTGTTTCCTCAGACGCTGTTTCCTCAGACGCTGTTTCCTCAGACGCTGTTTCCTCAGACGCTGTTTCCTCAGACGCTGTTTCCTCAGACGCTGTTTCCTCAGACTCTGTTTCCTCAGACGCTGTTTCCTCAGACGCTGTTTCCTCAGACGCTGTTTCCTCAGACGCTGTTTCCTCAGACGCTGTTTCCTCAGACGCTGTTTCCTCAGACGCTGTGTTCCTCAGACTCTGTCTCCTCAGACGCTGTTTCCTCAGACGCTGTTTCCTCAGACGCTGTTTCCTCAGACTCTGTTTCCTCAGACGCTGTTTCCTCAGACGCTGTTTCCTCAGACGCTGTTCCTAGACGCTGTTTCCTCAGACGCTGTTTCCTCAGACGCTGTTTCCTCAGACGCTGTCTCCTTAGACGCTGTTTCCTCAGACGCTGTTTCCTCAGACCGCTGTTTCCTCAGACGCTGTTTCCTCAGACGCTGTTTCCTCAGACGCTGTCTTCCTCAGACGCTGTTTCCTCAGACGCTGTTTCCTCAGACGCTGTTTCCTCAGACGCTGTTTCCTCAGACGCTGTTTCCTCAGACGCTGTTTCCTCAGACGCTGTTTCCTCAGACGCTGTTTCCTCAGACGCTGTTTCCTCAGACGCTGTTTCCTCAGACGCTGTTTCCTCAGACGCTGTTTCCTCAGACGCTGTTTCCTCAGACGCTGTTTCCTCAGACGCTGTTTCCTCAGACGCTGTTTCCTCAGACGCTGTCTCCTCAGACGCTGTTTCCTCAGACGCTGTTTCCTCAGACGCTGTTTCCTCAGACGCTGTTTCCTCAGACGCTGTTTCCTCAGACGCTGTTTCCTCAGACGCTGTTTCCTCAGACGCTGTTTCCTCAGACGCTGTTTCCTCAGACGCTGTTTCCTCAGACGCTGTTTCCTCAGACCGCTGTTTCCTCAGACGCCTGTTCTCCTCAGACGCTGTTTCCTCAGACCGCTGTTTCCTCAGACGCTGTTTCCTCAGACGCTGTTCCTCAGACGCTGTTTCCTTCAGACGCTTTTTGTGTTTCCTCAGGACGCTGTTTCCTCAGACGCGTGTTCCTCAGACGCTGTTTCCTCAGACGCTGTTTTCCTCAGACGCTGTCTCCTCAGACGCTGTTCCTCAGACGCTGTTTCCTCAGACGCTGTCTTCCTCAGACGCTGTCTCCCTCAGACGCTGTTTCCTCAGACGCTGTTTCCTCAGACGCTGTCTCCTCAGACGCTTGTTTTCCTCAGACGCTGTTCCTCAGACGCTGTCTCCTCAGACGCTGTTTCCTCACTGTTCTCAGACGCTGTTTCCTCAGACGCTGTTTCCTCAGACGCTGTTTCCTCAGACGCTGTTTCTCAGACGCTGTTTCCTCAGACGCTGTTTCCTCAGACGCTGTTTCCTCAGACGCTGTTTCCTCAGACGCTGTTTCCTCAGACGCTGTTTCCTCAGACGCTGTTTCCTTAGACGCTGTTTCCTCAGACGCTGTTTCCTTAGACTCTGTCTCCTCAGACGCTGTTTCCTCAGACGCTGTTTCCTCAGACGCTGTTTCCTCAGACGCTGTTTCCTCAGACTCTGTCTCCTCAGACGCTGTCTCCTCAGACGCTGTCTCCTCAGACGCTGTTTCCTCAGACGCTGTTTCCTCAGACGCTGTTTCCTCAGACGCTGTTTCCTCAGACGCTGTCTCCTCAGACTCTGTCTCCTCAGACGCTGTTTCCTCAGACGCTGTTTCCTCAGACGCTGTTTCCTCAGACGCTGTTTCCTCAGACTCTGTCTCCTCAGACGCTGTCTCCTCAGACGCTGTCTCCTCAGACGCTGTTTCCTCAGACGCTGTTTCCTCAGACGCTGTTTCCTCAGACGCTGTTTCCTCAGACTCTGTCTCCTCAGACGCTGTCTCCTCAGACGCTGTCTCCTACTTCTCGCCCCCCCTCCCCCCTCCCCCCTCCCCCTTTCCTCCCCCCTTCTTTTCTCTCATTATCTCTGCACATTTCTCGTCTCTGCCCTGCTCTTTTTTCTCAATCCTCAACCCCTCTCTGTCTCCTTCTTCTCCCCCTCTATCTCCTTTCCCCCTCCCCTCCTCTGCTCCCCCCGCCCCTATGTGGCAGGTATCTCTGCACGTTCTTCGCCTGTGACGTGCTCGCGCTCTTCCCCTGGGACACCTTCTTCCAGGTGCGCCTTCTGTCCCACTATTTCCTTTGCACTGTTCACTCAGGCACATGCACAATGGTACGGATGCAGTGGATATAAGCACAGAAACAATTTAGATAGGTAGAGAAAAGTCACAGAAAGCACAGCTTGAGACATCACCTCAAAGTATGGCCTGTATGCCAGCTTGCTACATGTCTGCCTCATCACTTTGCTTCCTGCATGGCGTCTGTCGAGAGCAACGGGGGGAGAGGGTCCAGTTTGGACCCTTGCTGACGTACGTGCTGCCATACCTGCTGCTGGCCGCACCTGAACTGCAGCTAGTGTACCTTTGCCACCCTGCTGCTGCTTCGCTGCCTCACTGCCCTTCCTTGCCCATCAGCCCCTTTGCCCATCATCCCCTTTGCCCATCAGCCCCTTGCCCATCAGCCCTTTGCCCATCAGCCCCTTTGCCCATCAGCCCCTTTGCCCATCAGCCCGTTTGCCCATCAGCCCCTTTTCCCATCATCCCCTTTGCCCATCAGCCCCTTTGCCCATCAGCCCCTTTGCCCATCAGCCCGTTTGCCCATCAGCCCCTTTGCCCATCAGCCCGTTTGCCCATCAGCCCCTTTGCCCATCAGCCCGTTTGCCCATGAGTTCGTTTGCCCATGAGTTCGTTTGCCCATGAGTTCGTTTGCTACTCCGCTGACCTGTTTGGCAGCTGGCAGGAGGGGAAGGTGATGACAACCTGCTGCGATGGTTTTTATGGACCAGAGTTGTGAGGACACGCCATGTGATGAACTACTTCCACCGGTATGTGATGTGTGGCCATTAAGCGTTAGGGTGGGCTGCAACGAAGAGGAGAACTTTAGCAAAGAGAGTAACAGTAGGTAAAGATACCCCTGTTTAAAATGCGAGAATTTGAAGTTCCGAACTCAGCTCCACTAGAAGATTAAAACGCAAACTAGTTTTGACTGACTGGGACAGGCCCCAAATCAGACCTTCATCAGTGCTGGTGGAATTATGAAAGTGAGTTTACAAGCGAGCTCTTAAACAGAAACTGCGCTACGAGAACAAACAACCGCGACTGAAACAACCGCGACTGAAATATGGTCTGCCAATCCAAAAACACCCTGGAAAGTTCCAAGGTGCCAGGTCTTCATTCCTCAGGACGTGTCGTGGGTAACCCACTTCTCGCCAGCTGGTGCTCAGGGAGCCTCGCGCGAACAAGTAACTTTTGCAAGTTACGCCCAGCCTTCCATGCGACAAAATTCTCTCATGTATAATCCGTGTGTAATGAGTCGATTTTTTAGTGGACTAAAAAATCGACTCATTACACACCTGCTGCGATGGTTTTTATGGACGAGAGTTGTGAGGACACGCCATGTGATGAACTACTTCCACCGGTATGTGATGTGTGTGGCTGTATGTGCGTGCCTTCTTCAGCCCTTCCAAGTATGGCAGGCCATGAAAGGCGTGCAGGACCCCATGCCTCACCTCTGTAGGAAGCAAGCTTATTTGAGTTTCAACCAGATGGGAACTGTCTTGTGTCTCCTTCCACCTCATTTCAAGTGCTCCCAAACTTTGTGCCGGCCATGCATTAGTCTCAAGAGCTGTGGTGCTGGAAACAAAAGCAGCACTCGGAAGCTACCTGCTTCACCTTCCTGCAACCTACTCCCCGGTTCCAATGTGCAGGTCGCAGCGGGGCTCATTTTTCACAGTGAGCAAACACCCGGTGTGCGTGGTGAAGCTCATATTTGTGGCGTTCTGTGCCACCCTCCCACCCACGTCATCGTCCACCTGATTCGTTTTATTCACACCTGTTCTCCAATGCGCCCAACCCCAGGTTGCAGAGGGACATCCGCCTGATCTACTTGCAGTGCGCGTGGTGAAGCGGATGTTTGTGGAGCTCCACATCGCCGACATCACCGTGTACTGTTGCTCCTCCTGTCTACACGTTCTGTTTCCCCATGTGCGTAATCTATACCCCAGGTTGCAGAGGGACATCCGGCTGAGCTACTTCGCGGTGCGTGTGGTGAAGCTCATATTCGTGGAGCTCTACATCACCCACGTGGCCGGCTGCTTCTTCTACTTCCTCGCCACCACCTACCCGCCCGACCAGGTACGAGCCATGTGTCATCTGCTTTTTCCGTTGACTTCTTTGTTGACAAGAGAGCAACCAAGGTGAAGGCACGTCTTGCTCTCGTGTTGCTCACGGGTTGCTCACGTGTTGCTCTCGTGTTGCTCACGTGTTGCTCTCATGTTGCTCACGTGTTGCTCACGTGTTGCTTACGTGTTGCTTTCGTGTTGCTCTCATGTTGCTCACGTGTTGGACGCATGTTGCGCTCGTGTTGCGCTCGTGGTTTGCCTTGTGCTCTCCCATTCCGCCTCTCGGTTTCCACGCCTTTGGGTCATGAAGCGCAAGCTTCAAGTCTAGCTTCAGTCAGTGTGACGGCACTGACGGTCAGTGTGTCAGTGTGTCAGTGTGTCAGTGTGTCCGTGTGTCAGTGTGTCAGTGTGTCAGTGTCAGTGTGCCCCATCCGACGGTCGTGCGTCTATGCGTCTACCATGTCTGCCCCTGTCAGCCCTATGTGCTTCTAGACACAGCCTGACCTGACCTGACCTGACCTGACCTGACCTGACCTGACCTGACACAATCAGACTCAAACTCCTGGGTGATTGATTGCACGACTCTCTCTCGCTTGCCCGCAACACATGTGTGGCATGCACAGGAAGGCAGCACGTGGATCGGCAGCCTCACTCTGGGGGACCTGCAGTACACGGACTTCCGAGACATTGACCTGTACACGCGGTACTTCACTGCGCTCTACTGGTCCGTCATCACCATGGCCACTATTGGTGAGTGCACTTTCGAGTCGACTGGAAAGCATGGCGAGTGGCCTTGCATGCATGGGAGGAGGTGTTGGGCCACCTCGCTCTAATGGTGCGTCATCAGCATGGTGATTATTGTTGGGTGAACTGCCTTCACCCTATTGCTTGCTCCGTCCCCTTGTGCAAGTGCTTTCACCGTGGCTTTTTCGTCCTTCCCACGCCTGTCAGCCCACATAGAACGCCCTTCCCACTTGTGTGCCGCCTGGAAATTCTCTTCGCCATCTGCCGTCCACCTTCGTGCCACCATCTCCCTCCCAGGCTACGGCGACGTGCATCCAGTGAACCCGCGGGAAATGGTGTTCGCCATGGTCTACATCTCCTTCGACCTCGTCCTCTCCGCCTACCTCGTTGGTGAGCCGGCTCTTACAGCGCAAGTGATGCTCTGAGCCATGGCCTGCATTTCCTTTGACCACATTCTCTTGACCTACCTCGTTGGTAAGTCGATTCAAACGACCCAAGAGATGCCTTGGACCCTTCTTCCTTATCTCCTTTGAACACTTCCTTATTTCCTTTGAACCCTTCCTTATCTTCTTTGAACCTTTCCTTATCTCCTTTAACCCTTCCTTATCTCCTTTGAACCCTTCCTCTCTGTGTGCCTCGCTGGTTAAAGCCGGGACAAAGCCATCTGTGCTCGCCCCCATGCCCCCTGCCCTGTGAGCAGGTAACATGACAGCGATGGTGGTGAGTGAAGGGGCCTTTTTGCTGCTCCTCATGCCCTTCTCTTTCACTGCTGCCATGTGTCCTCCTCCCTTCACCCTGTATGCTCTGCGCAGGCGACACCACAGCCATGGTGGTGCAGGGGTCGTCTTGCTGCTCCCAATGCCCCATGCCCTGTGTGCCACCCCATGCGTTGTGTGTCACCCTATCCCCCTGCGAGCAGGCAACATCACGGCAATGGTGTGAAGGGGTCCAACACGACGCGGTACCGCGAGAAGATGTCAGCGCTGATCAAGTACATGAATAGGAACCACCTGCCGCATGCGCTGCGGCAGCAGATGAGACAGGTGCGGGCAGGGCGAGGTGAGGTATGTATGAGGGTGAGAGATGTGAGGAGTAAGGGAGGCAAGGGTGCGAGAGGAGGAGCAGATGTCAGCGCTGATCAAGTACATGAACTGCAACCACCTGCCGCACGCACTCCGGCAGCAGATGAGACAGATGCAGGTAGGAGAGAGGTGTGAGGACGAGAAAGGAGGAAGCTGCGAGAGTAAGTGGGCAGAGTGTGAAAGGGAGGGATTGAGAGGGGGTGTGAAAGAAGAAGGGTCGCTGCATGTTGTAGACCTCACATCGTTCAGCCCTTCCTGCCTCCTTTCTGTGGCGTCATGCCACTCCCGCCACACACAGCACGTGAGGCTACAATGTGAGACACAGCTGGTGGAGGGTGAGGGCGTGGTGAAGCTTCCTCTCTGCATCCTCTCTCCTCACCTCCCCATCCTTCTTCCCATCCTTCTTGCACTCTCTCTCCACATGCCACGCCCCTCTCTCTTGCTGCAGCACGTGCAGCTCCCATGCCATCCGTTTGTCCTTCTCCCACATGCCCACATCACTGCAGCACGCGACGCTTCAATTCGAGACGGAGCAGGTGGAGAACGAGGTGATGAAGGAGCTTCCCTCAGCATCCCGTGTCTCCACGTGTTCCTTGTACCGCCCTATCACGTCCCACCTGCAGCACGTGCGCCTGCAGTTCGAGATGGAGCAGGTGGAGGACGAGGTGATGGAGGAGTTGCCTCTCCCCTTCCATCCTTCTTCCCTCGCCTCCTCTTCCTCTCTCCTCTCTACTGTGTTCCACCTGCCCATGGCAGCACGTGCGGCTGCAGTTTGAGACGAGCAGGTGAGGACGAGGTGATGAGGAGTTTCCCCTCAGCATTCGCCACAAGGTGGCGCGTGCCCTCTACCAGCGCACTGTCGAGGCCTGCTACCTCTTCGACGGGTGCTCTGGGGAGTGCATTAACCAGATCGTGAGTGGAATGCGCCACGTGTGTGCTGATGGCACATGCAGCACATGTATGTTGAATGCAGCACAAGGTGGCTCGTGCTCTCTACCAACGTACTGTTGAGACAAGCTACATCTTCGACGGGTGCTTGGGTTAGGGAGTGCATCAGAGAGAAAATGTGGAGAGAAGAATTGACCACGGGAACTTGGGAAGGTTGGACCACCAACAATTGAGGAGCCAATAATGTTGGTGGAAGACCAACAAGATTGAACACCTCGATATTTGGGGTCAAGGGTTGGTTGAATATCCAACCCCAACATTCATCTACACCCCTAGATAGCCCAACTTGGTTATATATGTATATATATATATATATATATACACAAGTATAAGAAACTATGTAGGATAAAAAGAATACTATATTCTGACACAACCCCGTAGCCTGCATAGTGAGAGAATACTTGGGTCGAGAAGAGACGACTCTTGAATCAGGTAGGGAACGAGGAGGAGCGAGGAGCAAGGCCTAAGAGGCTGAGGAGGGAGTGACGAATGCGAGGGAGAGCCTTGGTGAAGATGTCAGCAAGATTGGCAGAGGAGTCAATCTTGTGGACGGTTAGATGGTCGGCTTGGACGAGTTCGCGAACGAAGTAGTGGCGGAGCTCGATGTGCTTGGAGCGGCCATGGGAAACTGCTTCTTTGGTGAAGTGTATCGTGCTAGCATTGTCGCACCAGATGGTGGGGCAGAGCTGAGGGGCACCAAATTCCGTGAGAAGGTAGCCGAGCCAGCGAGCTTCCTGTGCAGCCGTGGTAACGGCATAGAGTTCAGCTTCATAGGAGGAGAGGGCAATGGAGGAGGAGCGGGTAGAGCGCCAGCTAATGAGGCCACTCCCCAGGGTGAAGCCATACCCCTGGGAGCTGTGACGATCAGGCTGGGAGTCAGCCCATGAGGAGTCGCTGAAGCTGGTGAGGGTGGGTGGGGTGCGACCGCCAAGCGTAAGGACGTAGTCCTTGGTTCCTCAAAGGTAAAGAAGGACACGCTTGGCTGCCTTCCAGTGTGCCTCAGAGTGCTTGCCTGTCACAGGATCCAATGACTCGAGGAAAGATTGCACTATCGATCAGTACAAGGCGCTTTTATACTTCCAAAGTACATCAGGTAACCAGGTTTATCTTATCCCAAGGGAATAGACCCTTGTAGAATATAGAATCACCCTGCGTATAGCCACGCGAGGCTATTGACTTTAAGAGATTACGGCAGGATTACGCTAGATAGAGCGCAATAGTACATCCCGAGCCTGGTCGGTTATATAATGATAATAACAGGATAAACCAAAGGTTAATGAAAAATGGAGAAGAGGAAACCAAATAAAATGGGATAAAAAGAGAAATGAAAGAGGAAGGAAAAGCCAAGTGGTGTAACGGGGTCGTACTCTCACAGATCCCCCCCTCAAAGCTGGATGGTAGAAGTGACACCCTGCTTGACAAGGTAGTCATGCAGAGGACGACGTGCGTTTCCCATGACCACTTGCCATGGCTGTTCTGGGACAAGAGGCTGTAGCAGTCCCGCTTTCTTCTGTTTGCTGCTCTTCATCCTCTGACATGTATCACACGAGGTGACAAATTTCTGAACATCCTCTGCCAAGTGGGGCCAGTAGTAGTGTTTTGCAATACCGGTCAGCGTCTTGTTGCTACCGAAGTGTCCGGCGTAGAGGACGTCGTGGTATTCTTCGAGTAGTAACTGGCGCAATGGAGGGTAATTACGTACCCAGATTTTTGTTGATCCTTCCGTACGCGATGTCGTTGTCCCACTGTAGCAGATGTCGTTTTTCTGCCAAGGGAATTTCGGGGTCGATGGCGTACCCGTGTGTGAAGAGTCCCTTGAGTAGTGGATTCATCCCTTCGATCTGAATAGCGGCAACGTGTGCAGGCCGGCTGAGGCGTCTGCTTTTTTTTTGTGGCCGGGCTTGTACACGATGTCGTAGTGGAAGTGTGTCTCGAGGAAGTCGATCCACCGACCTGCCGCCTGGAAAGGTTGGGTTGTGTCTTCAAGTATTTCAGGCTGCAGTGGTCGGTGTAGACGGTTGTTCTTCGTCCTTCGAGATAACATCTCCACGCTTTGAAGGCGATGACGATGGCAAGGCCTCTTTGTCGTGTATCGGGTAGTTTAGTTCTGCCCCGTGCAGTTTCTTGCTGAGGTAGGCGATTGGTTGCAGTCCATTCCTTGGTCTTGCATCAAGACTGCTCCCACTGCCTGGTCCTGGCGTCAGCTTCGATGACGTAGTCGCGTTCGGGATCTGGCAGGGTGAGTACTGGTGCGGATGTAAGTGCTTGCTTCAGCTGCTCCACGGCTTCCTGGTGCTTCGGCTCCCATTTGTAGGGCGTGTTCTTTTTCAGCAGATTCGTGAGTGGTGCTGCGATTTCGCATACTGTGGCACGAACCTGTTGTAGTAATTAGCGAAGCCTAGGAACTGCTGCAACTCCTTCACGTTCTCGGGTGTCTTCACGTACGTACGGCTTCGATTTTTCTTGGGGTCGACGTGAACTCCTTGAGCGCTCACCAAGTGTCCTAGGAACTGACCTTCTCAAGGGCGAATTTCGCTCTTGGACAGTTTGACGTAGATCGTTGTCGTCGAAGAATTTCGAAGACGCGTCGCAGGTGTTCGACGTGCTGCTTCATGTCGCGCGAGTAGATGAGGATGTCGTCCAGGTACACCACCACGCACTCATCCAAAAGTGGCCGTAGAATGTGGTTCATTTCGGCTTGGAATGTTGCCGGTGCGTTGGTGAGTCCGAATGGCATTACCAAATACTCGTACGATCCATACCGAGTTCGGAAAGCAGTTTTGTGGATAGAGTTGTCCGCCATCCGTATCTGCCAGTATCTGGACCGCAGATCCAATTTGGAAAATACCGTAGCTTCCCGAAGCTGGTCAAGCAGGTCATCGATTCGTGGTATCGGGTATTTATTCTTGATGGTCTGCTTGTTAAGAGCTCGGTAGTCGATGCACATGCGCAGGCTTCGTCCGGTTTCGGTGTGAAGAGTACTGGGGCACCGTAGGCGAAGTGGATGGTCGGATGAGTCCTTTGGCTAGGAGATACTCGATCTGTTTTTTTCATGTCTGTCAGCTCCGTAGGGCTGAGCCGATATGGTGCTCGGAAGGTCGGCTTCGAACCCGGTTCCTCCACGATCTCGTGTTGATGCGTTCGGTATGGCGGTAGCTCGTTCGGAAGATCGTCCGGAAGAATGTCTTGGAACTCCTTCATAATTCCTTGATTTTCCCGGAGGTTCCGAGTCTTCTCCCTGTCGTTCTCCACCTCTGTTGCTATCGCCAGGAACCCGGTGTCGGTTCGCTTCACGTCCTTCTCGAATCGTGCGAGTGTCTCCACTGGGATATCTCCTGTATCGTCCCAGTTGGGTAGCTGTACTCTCCGTCCATTGTTGTAGATGCTTGCGGTGCGGTTCACCCAGTTGATCTCGGGTTGAATCTTTTTAGGAAGTCTTCGCCGAAGATCAAGTCAAGCCCTTTGATGTTGGTGATGGGAGTGCAGGTCTCCAGCGCAGTGGTCCAATTTGTAGGTGTAGCACTGCTTCGCCGTGTACTGGTAACTTGCTTCCGTCCACCATCGTTGCAGAAATCCTGAAGGCTTGTACTCTTCTCGAAGTCGGTCCAATTACTGCCTTGTCGCAGACGGTGTGCGATGCTCCGCTGTCCACGAGTGCTTGGAGGCGTCGTCCTTTGCAGATGACCTCGGAGCACGAGGGGCAGGCGTTGCTCGGAGTACCCAAAGATAGTTTCATTGATTGGGTCATAGGGTACATCCCAATATTCCGTACACACCTTTGTGTTGCTATCTACTCCTGAGCTGGCAGCTGGCCGAGGCTGCTTGGAGAACGGCTCTTCTCCAGGGCCCGGAGTCTCCTTGACGACTGTGCGCGTCGTTGATGCCGAAGTTGCTGAACTGGATGCATCCGGAGGAGGAGTTCGAGGTTTCTGCAGCTTCTTGTAGACCCCCAGCTTCCTCTTGAGCTGCTTCAGCTCCACCGACGTCTTCCTTGGGGAACGGGTGGTCGTTGTGGGCTGGTGTCGGGAGAGGACGTTGACTCCGTGGAAAGGTCGGCTTCTTTCCACAGTCCTTAATTTTTTCCCCAAGTTTTCCGGTACCGGTATAATCTCCCAAGCTGTCTGCTTCTTTTGGAGTCCTTCCCGATATTTCTCCAAGGCTCTAGCCCCTCGAGAATCATAAGTTTTCATTAAAGCATCTTTATAAGATAACTTTAACGAATCCTTGTAATTTCCTGGGTCTTCAATGAGTTTCCCCGTCTCGGCACAGTCCTTTTTCGCGGAGTTAGATTTTTTCTCGGCGATTTTCCCTGGCGAAGACTGGTCGTGGGGTGGAGATTTTCCCCCATCATTTTCTCCTTTTCGCGTCGAATCAGCTTCGTTGAAGTTGACTTTTCCGTCATCCCGCGGCCGCTTTCGGATCTTTTTATTTTCGCCAGCTAGATCCGCAATCACTGGCGAGTCCCGTTTTTTTGTCTTCTGATTGGCCGAAGGAATTCGGCCACTGTTGCGTGCCCGATACTCTGCGCGTGCGGCTTTCATTTTGTTGCAGTCGAAGATTCGATGACCGGCACCCCGCAAAAATCACACGTGTAGTTGGTGTTTTTCGGACGTGGCCGCCCTCGAACCTGTCGACTTCCCATCGGGTCGGCGACGTGGGTCAGCCGACGCGTCGCCCTGGTCACGTATTGCCGACGTGCGTCCGTCGTGTTCCGGCGTTGACCATGTCGAAGCGCTCTGCTGCTGAAACGACGTCACTGTAGTTCGGTAGTTTGACGCTGCTACTTGTCGTTTGACTTCGGTCTTCAGCCCGGCGAGGTACGACTGTACTTTTTCCCCTTCGGTCAGGTCGGGAATTCGGTTATAAATTCTTCCATCTGCTGCTGTGTACTGCGCTACACTCCCGAACTGTCGATGGTCGATGAATTTTTTCCCGGGCAAGGAAACTGAATTTATCGGCTCGAACGTTTCAGCAGGTCGGTGCGGAACTGCTGCCACGTGGCTTCACCGTGGATGAAGTGCTGTTGCCGGCCAATCCACTCGAGTGCCGGCCCTCGCATCAGTGTCGCCGCGAGTCGTACGCGTTGTCCGTCCCAGACTGCGAGCTCCATCCGACGGCTGCGAAGTAGATCTCCATCCCGGCGATCCATCTGCGGTGCGTCGGAGTTTCGATCGCTCGGATCGAACGGCTCAGGTGGGCGCGGTTTCGGAGCTCGAGAAACTGCTGCGACTGCTGCGTCGTCGCCGTTGTCGAGTCGTGCTGCGCTCCGGCGAGTCGAGTTACTCGCTCGAACTCGTTTCGCCACGCTCGCGATCCGCTCGCATCTCCTCCTGAGAGCTGCGATGCGCGCGAAGAGCTGCTGGGTAACCTCGGCGTTGTCGAAGGTTGCCATCCTGTTCAAAACACGCGCGGGGGGGTAATTCGAAAAACGCGGAGCTGGTGCTTACCAGAATCGGCGTCGAATTGGTCGCCCCCGGCGGTTTTTCGAGGCAGGTTTTCCCGCTGCTGCTGCTTTGTGAGCGCGGCCGAGTGAGAAAAGCTCTGATTACCAAGTGTCACAGGATCGAATGTGTCGAGGAAAGATTGCACTATCGATCAGTACAAGGCGCTTTTATACTTCCAAAGTACATCAGGTAACCAGGTTTATCTTATCCAAGGGAATAGACCCTTCTAGAATATAGAATCACCCTGCGTATAGCCACGCGAGGCTATTGGCTTTAAGGGATTACGGCAGGATTACGCTAGATAGAGCGCAATAGTACATCCCAGCCTGGTCGGTGATATAATGATAATAACAGGATAAACCAAAGGTTAATGAAAAATGGAGAAGAGGAAACCAAATGAAATGGGATAAAAAGAGAAATGAAATAGGAAGGAAAAGCCAAGTGGTGTAACGGGGTCGTACTCTCACACTTCCCCAGCCAACGAATCGGGCAAGGATACTGATGGGGTAGGCCAGGTCGGGGCGAGTGCAGATCATGACGTACATCAGGGACCCCACGAGCTCAGCGTAGGGGTCGTCGGAGGAGGCTGGGGTGGTGGGGGGTGTGAGCTGGTGGTTGACATCAAGAGGAGTGGAGACAGGCTTGGCCGGTGACATCTCGAAGTGCTCGAGCACTTTCTTGATGTAGTAGGACTGGGAGAGCGAGATCGTGCGTGCTTCCTTGTCGCGAGTGATCTCAATGCCAAGGTAGTTCGTCTTTGACTTGTTGTAGGTCTGCGTCGTTGGAGGCGGCCAAGAGCATATCGTCAACATAGACGAGGATGTAGAAGGGTGAGGGGGAGGTGCGAAGGAAGAGGCAGGAGGCAGCTTGGGAGGGACAAAAGCCCAGGTCGCGAAGGGTGGAAGAAAGCTTGGCATACCACTCTCGGGGTGCCTGCTTCAGGCCGTAGACGGGCCGCTTGAGTTCCCACACAGTGGAGGGATCGAAGGGGAGATGGAAGCCGCTGGGGCGCTCGAGGAAGATCTGCTCGTGGAGTTCGCATTGAAGGAAAGCGGTGGTGACATCCATAGAGTGTAGGATCATGCCGAGTCGCCCGACAAAGTCTAGGAATACTCGGACGACCGGGGGAGTGGCAGTGGGTGAGTAGGTGTCGAAGACAGTGGCCTCCCCAGGTAATAGCTTGACTCGAAACACCCACTTGCCACGAACCACATTGGCACAGGACGGGCGGCGGACATCGATGAAGGAGCGATTGCGTATGAAGGCTTGTAGTTCATTGATGATGGCCTCGAGCCAACGGGCTGCATCCGGGCACGCCATCGCCTCCTCGTAGGTGCCATGTTCGAAGATGGTTGGGGCGCCGGAGACGACAAACACAGGGGTGCATGCGATGCTGAAGGCGATTGGCACGAGGAGCGGGTTGAGGTGATGGAGCGTGAGGATCTCTTCGTGAGCATCCTCTTGAACAAGGGGGGAAAGTAGGGTTGAGCATACTACCCGCCCGGGTCGGGTACCCGGTACCCGGATCCCCTTTTAGGGCGGGTCGGGTATCGGAAATCCTGAATATTACCCGGCGGGTCGGGTCCGGGTTACCCGGGCGGGTATTCAATACCCGGTACCCGAAATGCTACCCGACGTGTCGGGTAGCGGGTACCCGACCCGAAATCGGGTAGCGGTCTACCCGACGGAACCAGCGAGACATTAGTCGTGCTGGTAGAGAAATTTCATCAAGTTTCTAGGTTACGTGAGTTGCTAGGTCACTTAGAGCATTGTAGATTGGCAAGGGTTGGGTTTCGTAGATACAGATGCATTCAGAGTGGTAATACCGGGTCGGGTATACCCGGACCCGCCAGGCGGGTATTAAATTACCCGCCCCCAAATCCCGGGTCCGGGTATTGGTCCTGGGCATGTTACCCGACCCGTACCCGACCCGTACCCGACCCAAAAATACCCGACCCGAAGTCGGGTATAGCAAAACCGGGTCGGGTCGGGTAAATACCCGGTTTTGCTCATGCCTAGGGGAAAGAGGGGGAGGTGGTGGGGCTGGTGGAGTTGCACGGAAGTTGAGGCAGAGGAGGCCGGGAGACGTGGGTCGGCGCCGGGAGATGAAGGGTGGTGCTGAGAGCGCGAGGCCGTATCGGCGCCGGGAGGCGAAGGGTGGTGTCGAAAGCATGAGGATGCCAGGTGCAAGCGGTGGAGAGACCTGGGGAATGGGCTGGGGGGAAGGGAGGGCTGCGGGGAGGGGGCAAAGGTGTTGAGGACACGAGGGGGGGGGAGCACCAATGAGGGAATCGAGCGAGCAAGTGTGGGGCTGGAAGGGGAGGCGCGGAGGAGGAGGTGGGGGAGGGGGTGGTGGGGGAGGAGGTGGTGGGGAGGGAGCTCTAGATTGGGAGTGGGTAGGGTTAGTGGAGGGTGAGGGGGGAGGGGGGAAGCACGGGGTCAAGGATATCTCCTGAGGAGGAGGAGGAGGGGGCTGGAGCGGGGGCGGGAGCAGGGGCGGGGGCAGGAGGGACGGGTGGGGGGGGGGAGAAGTGGGAGGGGAGGGAAAAGGGGTGGGGCGACGGTGTCGGTCCAAAGGAGGGGACGGGTTACCGGGGGAAAGGGGTCAGTGGAAGGGGTGAAGGGGTAATAGGGTGTGGATTTGTCAAATGTGACATCGCGACTGCGGATAAGGCGAATTGAGGGGGGTAGAGGAACAGGTAGTCAAGGGAGTCAGAGTTGAAACCAAGGAAGATGCAGGGAAGTGTGCGAGATGTCGCGTTACCCGCGGAAAGACAGGAGCCTTCCCTCGGTTAACACAGCAGCCAAAGAAGTGGTGAGTGGAAGAAAGAGAAGAATTGGTAGATTGGTTATACAAGAAAGCATAGGCTGGACAAAAGGGAGGTACAGTAGAATACTGTAATAGTTTGGGAATGTGCAAATCGAGGGAGGAGGAATTGGAATGTTGGAGTGTCGAGGCGCGAGCAGGAACAGGGTGGAGTGCGTCAGCAAGGGGCTAATCTGACGAGAAGCTGGGCCAAGAGCAATCTCAGTTTTCGAGGGGATAACGAGAAGGGAGAAGAAGGAGAGAGAGGTGGACGTGTAAATAGGAGGCGACTCAGTAGGACCATTGCTTTTCGCTTGTATGTTTTCCTTCTATATTGCAATTTGCTCTAATCCTACTGGAGTCTAGGAGTGCGGGAATTCGATCTTAAGTAGATCCGAGTAGGCGGCGGGCGGCTTGTAACATACAAGCGAAAAGGGCGACCGCGCGACCGCTGAGGATAATGGTTCACTAGCGGTGTGACGAAGACAAGCTGCGGGCTGAGGAGGGGCGGACCGCAGGCAGTGATGAGTCGAGAGACGAGTCCCGAGGGACATCGCCTCAGATCGGGAATCAGATACCCATCGAGGAACGTGCAGGAGGAGGTGCAGCCTCCTCTGCGCCCGGTGTATCGCGCAGGGCCCCATGAGCCCGAGAGACATGAAGCGTTGGCTTCAGCGGCTACTAGCGAAAAAGGTGGAGAGGACGTCGGATCGCCAGATCCGCGGAGTCGTGGAGGTTCGGGTATGAGTTCGCGAGGAGGAACGCCAGTACGCGTAGAAAGATCGCAGGAGCGAGCAGAGATGGAAAAAGGGAAAGAGCAGCCAAGAGAGCGCGGGACTAGATCCCTAGAAGATCGAGCGGCTGGAGGCTACTCTGCAAGAGAAGGAGGAAGGGCGAATTCGTGGGAAGCGGACGGTCGACAGTCGCGAGTGTACCGAAGATAGAAGTGCCCGAGCGATTTTCAGGCGTGCCGGGGGAAGAACCATCGTTGAAGAATTACATCATGTTGATAGATGATATCCGCTATTGCTGGGATCGAGAGGGGCTAGATCCAGTAGAATTCTTTCGAGGACTAGGAAAGACACTCCGAGGAGAGGCGCAGACGCACTATCGAGTAGAGAGGGCAAGGCTGCTGCGAGAGTATGAGCAGGGAGAACTTCCGCCCCGCAAGATCGTAGATCGGTTCTACGAGATTATGAAAGAGCAGTTTCCTGGCGACACGGCCGATCGTGTAGCTGAATTTAGTGAGTTCCGTAGAGGGAAGGGCGAATCACTGCTGGCATATTATAACCGTTTAGTAGAGCTATCTGAAGATCTTAACTGCCTGGAGGACCGTCTTATGGTGACGAAATTCTTAGGAGGATTGGAAGAAGATTTAGTCAACGAGATGAGGAGTGCGCTGTATCCTATTCGGGCCAAGGCCACGCTGAGGCAGGTATATCAGATCGCCAAAGAAGCTGAGGAAGGGAGACGCTATGTGGACATGATGAGGGGAGCTCGAAGATCCACAGAGAAGAGAACCGGTATGGTGAGCCACAGAAGTACGGCGACTGGAAGAAGAGAGGAGGGAGAGGCCGAGAGACGATCTGCGCTGTCACAAGTGTGGGGAGGTGGGCCACCTGCGCAAGGATTGCGTGATGGGTATCACGTGCGACCACTGCGGGCAGATGGGCCACTTCAGGAGGAACTGCCCCAGAGCTCCCACCTGCAACGAATGTGGAAAGAAGGGACATCTTAGCACCTAGTGCTACAGGAGTGGAGGACAGAGGGGGAAATCGTTGCGAGAACAAGAGCTGGAGCAGGAGGTGAAGAAACTGAGAGCGCAACTGGGAAAAGCGGAAACCAGCGAAGATCCGGAGAAAGCGATGATGGCGTGGGAGGACGAAGATGGAGATGAGGAAGAAGATCAGGAGTCCGAGTATGCGCTGGTGGCGACACTACCCCAAGAAAGAGAAGATCTGGGACTGCGGAGCGGTGGGATGGATGGGAGGAAAGAGCATAAGGCGAGGACACGCAGCAGGAAGATAGGAAAGGAAGAGGAAGAAGTAAGGGAGCGGGCCAATTGCATCCGGAGGACAGGCTGGTGTGCCACACGACCGCTTTACTGGCGGAAGCCGGCTCCATAGCCGTACAAGGTGTGAAGGTAGAGAATGCCATCATCGATACAGGAGCGCAGAGTGTACTGATGGGAGGAAACTAGCGGAGTGCTTACAGAAGCAAGGGAAGCTGGAGACGGTGAGCAAGGGAATGCTAATCATCACGGCGGAGGGCGGGCCACCAAAGTGGATGCCAAGCACGAAGGAGCCGGTGGAGGTGGTGCTGCTGCCAGGACAGAAGGGGGAGACACGGATTCGAGTGCAATGCGGGCTGTCCGAGTCCGAAGACTATGACTTGCTGGTGGGGATGGAGCTGATTTACAAGATAGGGGCGCAAATTGATGCATGGGGAGAGAAGCTGAGCTTCAGAACCGAATACTGGAGAGAAGGCGGAGAACAGGGAGAGTTGCCGGTGCGGTTTGTGAAGATGGAGCCAAAGAAGGCCCTGAGAGCCACGGAGTCACTACAAAAGGCAAAGGAGGAGAAAATGGCAGGGGGCAAGAAAGCGGCAGAGAAAGACAGGATGGAATCACTCAGGCAGCCGAAGGGAGCAACACTGGGAGAGAAGCCGATTACGATAGTGGAGCTTTTTGGAGGAATTGGAGCGGGGTTGGCAGCGGCGCTAGAAGCCGGATTGGTCGTGCAAAAGTGGATACTAGTGGAGATAGACCCAAAGGCCCGGCGCATGGCCTGGCATCATGCAGACCAATTGCCGATGAGATACCCGGGGCAAATAAGTAAGGCCGTGATTGAGGAGGCGAAAAAGGAAGGAGCGTGGGACATAAGACAGTTGAACGAAGCAACCGTATGGGGATGGGGTCAAGTGGACCTGGTAGTGGCGGGCTGGGAGTGCCAAGGCACCTCGAGAGCCGGAAAAGGGCGAGGAATGGGAGATGCTCGCACGGCGTTACTGGATGAACTCCTGCAAGTGCTGAAGTGGATCCAGGAAGGGGGATCGAGATGCTGCTATGTGGTGGAACACGTCGACATGGAAGGGGACCCGCGAGAACCAATAAGGGCAACTCAGGAGAAGGTGGTAGCGGAGCTGGGGGCAGGCGTAAGTTGGGATGCAGCACTGAACAACTGTAGTGCAACAAGCTGGGCGAGCCGAGAAGGGCCTGGCCCACCTTAGTGGCCTACGAGGGAGCACGTGGGTTCGTGCTGGAAGACGGCAAGCCAGGTCCAGGGATGGTCTATGACCGAGAGAGAGGGCAGTGGGAGGAGCCGACAGCAATTGAGCGAGAGTTAGCTATGGGATACTTACCGGGGGCAACTGCAGCACGAGGGGTGAGGGAGCAAGAGCTCAGAGCCGCCCTGGGAAGAGCAATGGATCAACATGCCTTACAGTGGCTGCTGAAGGAAATGATACAGCAGCGACACGAACGAGAGCCGAGCCGACGGCCAGCGGAAGGGGGAAGTAAGCCGATCAAACCAAGCTGGGCTTACCTGACGCAAGCAGAAAAGCAGGGCGAGGCGATGGACAAAAAAAGGGGGAGGAGCCAACGAAGGAGAAGGAGAAAAAGTGGGAATTGAGCCCGGACCTTGACAGCAAGGTAGCAGCAGCGATACAGCAAAGTCTTAGAAAATCATCGCAAGACATTCGCCTACACCTTGCACGACCTGGGAAAGTGTACGCTGCAAGAGCTGGAGCTACTGCTGGAGACCGAGGTGCCCATCTACCAGCGGAGAGACGGATGAGTCCGGGAGATGAAGAGATTTGCCGAAGCAAATGCAGAGAACTACTGGATGCGGGGCTGATACGACCTTCTAACTCAGCCTACGCGGCAGCAACAGTGGTAGCAGCAAGGACAGATCTCACAGGAGAGGTGCTAGCGAGAAGAATGTGCGGTGACTACCGAGAAATCAATCGAGTAACGAGAGCCGACCGATATAGCATGCCAACTGCAGAGGAGATCTTTGACAGGCTAGAAGGCGCGGTCATATTCTCCACTTTGGATTTGCGGCAGGGATTCAATCATATAGCGATAAATGAAGGAGACAAGGGCACGACGGCCTTCCATGGAGCAGACGGCTTGTACGAATGGAACGTGATGCTGTTTGGGCTGAGGAACGCATCAGCCGTGTTCCAGAGAGTCATGGATCAAGTGCTGAAGACAGTGCCAGCAGCAGCGTGCTACATAGATGACGTAGTGATTTTCAGCAGGAGCGAAGAAGAGCATGCTGAACACCTGAAGGCGACATTAGATGCTATAGCAGCCGCAGGGCTGACCTGCCATCCAGAGAAATGCAAAATAGCCAGAAGGACGGTGGCCTACCTGGGATTTGAGGTGCAAGGCGGGAGGATGGGGATCCAAGAGGCCAAGGTGGCGGTGCTGGACAAGCTGGGGGCACCAAAAGACAAGGGAGCGCTGAGAGCACTCCTGGGGTTCTTGAACTACTACCGGCGCTTCATCCCGAACTTCAGCAAGAGAGCATATAGGCTGAATCAGCTGCTGAGGGAGGGGCAGACATGGAAGTGGGGACCAGAAGAGGAGCAGGTAAGAAGAGACCTGTTAGAGGCCATCAAGGCAGGGACGGTGCTGCAGCTGCCAAAGAAAGATGCACCATTCACAATCTACACAGATTGGAGCAGCATGGGCATGGGAGCCGTACTGTGTCAAGAGCTGGAAGGAGAAGAGAAGAACGAGTGGTGGCGTACGCCAGCCGTAGCTGCACAGCAACGGAAGCTAACTACAGTTCATATGAGGGTGAAGGATTGGTGGCAGTGTGGGGAGTAACCCACTTCAGGGCCTACTTGTAAGGGCGCAAATTCACGCTAGTGACGGACCACCAGCCGCTCTTATGGCTGATGACTAATCAAACGCTGACGGGGCGGAATGCCCGGTGGGCAATGAGATTGCAAGAATACGATTTTGTCATCAAGCACCGCGCGGGCAAGACACTGCAACATGCAGACGGTCTGTCCAGGAACCCTTCACCCGAAGAGGAGCAGCAGTGGGCAGCAGCCGCAATGCAGAAGGAAGAGAAGGATCCGGCGCAAGAGGCGAAGGAGCAAAGAGCAGAGGACATTTGGCAAGACAAGGAGACATTGCACTGGGTGCAAGGACTGACAGAGGATGCAGCAACAGTGACGGCGAGAGCGAGGTGTAGAGGATGACACTACCGGTGGTTTCAGAGTCAGATGCAGCTGCGGACGACAGAGGGATGGAAAATGGTGCCAAGGCCAGAAGAAGAGAGAGCGTACCGTACAGCAAGTGCATGAGAAGCTGGGGCACTACAGGGGAGCCAGGACTAGGCAACTATTACAAACCACTTATTGGTGGGCAGGGATGAGAAAGGACGTAGCGAAGTGGGTGCAGGGGTGCGAGGCATGTCAGCGGAACAGGGCAGCGCTGGAGAAGGGGAGGGAAGAACTGCAGTCTCTGCCCATACGTGGCCTAGGATTCAGGTGGTCGTTGGACCTAGCCGGTGAATTACCATTGACCAGACGAGGGAAGATATACATAGTGGTGATGATAGAGCACACGACCAAGTGGGTGGAGCAAGAGCCATTGCCAGCAAGAACAGCGGGCTGATAAGGGAGGCATTTCTGGATCAAGTACTCACCAGATATGGCGCCTGCGGGGAAGTGCTGACCGATCAAGGCACGGATTTTCAAGGCAGCTTTGCTGAACTCTTGAGAGAAGCAGGCATCACTCACAGAGTGACGTCGCGGTACCATCCTCTGTCTGACGGGTTGACCGAGCGGATGATACAGACGATCAAAAAAAGGACTGCGGGTGTACGGAGAACAGAGGAAAGAGAGAGTGGGAACACAG